AGAAAAAAGACCTGCATGTGCAGTTATTTTATCACTTCCTTATTAGGAAACTGAGTAAGAAATAAATCCTTTTTATTATGGTTCATAATTAAAGATTTTAATGTAGAAGTTTAGTTTTTAAGCTCTTGTTACTAATTATTTACGGAATTGAAGGCGTTTAGGAACAATAGCAAAAGAAGCTTCTGCTTTGTAGGAGTTTGTTTAAAACGGCGAGTCTTTTCTAGCCTCTTTCTGACACAAGTCGAAGCTCTGTGTAGGTTCGGCACGCGGCTCGGATCCTTTTCTTCGCCTCCTGTTTCCCCCGTTGGCACCGTTCGAACAGAGCGTTTTCATCTCTGACACACTGAGGCCCCGAGCGGAGCTGGTTTGTTGTTGCTGTCCGTTTTTGGGCCTCAGGGATTGAGGGGTGTCATTGTGCCGCCCCGCTCCCCCCCGCCTCTCGCCAGAGTGAGACCTCGGCTAATGAGATAAAAAGCCAGGCATTTCTTTAGCATTGTTCGTCAGTCTTCATGTGATCCTGCTGTACTTTGGACAAACAGCACGACAAGAGATCGGTACAGAATATGACTGATGTCAGTGGAAAAAGACTCGAGAGTTTAGAGACTTTTTTTGTTAGATTTAAACACTTATTAACGGGCGAAGTTGAACCATCCCGGTGCATACTTTTGGGGAAAAACCCCATTGATTTATTGTTGTTTAAGTGATTGTACAAGTGGAAGATAGTGTGGAGATGCTGACAAGACCACTTAAAAAAAACTCTATTCCATTGCTGCTTCAGGCTTAATCGCAGTGATAATAAAGAAAGTGAACACGTATTTAGAGATTTGCATGTTTTAAGGAAAGAATGACAAATTCCCTAAAATAACCGCCTCGTTTTTCCAAGAGATCAAAGTTGGCTTGGTTTGACCCCAGTCTCTCTTAGAGGTCCTCGGGGTCTCAACCCTGAAAATATTTCCGACAAGCACACAAGAAACAAGTCCATCTCCTTCGGTGTGGTCTGTGTTGTTGTTGGAAGCTTTTACGACGGTCTGTCAGTGAATAATTATTTAAGATCAGCTCACAGAAATGGTTTCCACTTGGTGAACGGTAAGTCAGCTGCTGGTGGAGGGGAGCTGCACAAATCTTTTTGGAAAGTAAGACGTTTGTTGTGGTTCTGTTTTTCGTGGAAAACGGCTGCTCACCTTCTCAGGTGGCATTCCAGTCCAAAAGTCTGCATCCAACTCTAACTTTACCATCTGTTTGCTCATTAGTCATAAAAAAAAAGTTAAAACACCTCATCAGTTGTTCTTGGAGTCCAGAAATATTTGTCGTTTTTCTGAAAGGCAGTAGGTGTTTCTGATGAATTTGACAGTAATTTCTCACTGTTTAAACATTAGTTGCAACTTTCTTTTAGTTTCTTTTATTGTCAGTTGTCAAAACAGCTGTTAATCTTTGTCCCAATAATTATTGAAGTAATTTAATCTCTATGTAAAGTTTCAAATAAAATCTCAATGTATAGCACATAATCTGAAATTGGAAGTAAATATTTCACTTAGTAGTCCTAATCTTAAAATGTTAGGTTTATGGCTGCCACAAACGATTATTTTTATAATCGATTAATCACCGATTATTTTTTCGATTAGTCGACTAATCAGATCATATGTTAATTGAATATAAAACATAGAGCTTATTGTGCCAGAATGCAGCTGCTATTATATAACCATCGTTAGATTTTAGCTATATGCTAACTAAAAATAATTGCTGTGGAAGGCAATTGCTGCAGATATTGCACTGGTTTCTCTTTCATTTTCTTAAAATGATCCCACACTTTTGAGCTCTGTTGCTGGGTAGTCATGATACCAGAGTCTGTCTGTATAATGTCTTGTGACGTCCACGGCCTACCCCAGTTACCACTACTGTGCATGTGTGTCAAGGACAGAAAGGCAGATGTGGCAGTGGAAGGTGTCAAAGAAGTTTGGAGAGAAAAACWAAGTAAAGAACAAAAAAAGAAAAAGAAAACAATTAATCGATTATTAAATTAGTCATTAATTATTTTAATAATTGATTAGTCGTCGATTAATCGATTAATCATGGCAGCCCTAGTTAGGTTTACAAAGGCAGAGACTAGGAAGCAACTAAATCCTTGCATTTCATTAATCTAATAAATTGCATTTTTTAAGCAACCGCATCTTATTTTTCAGTATAAACCACATAAATAAATAGGCTCAGACACAAACTGCTTGAAATCTTAACAGGACAGTGTGGTTTTGATATGTTAATAAGCCGTAATAAGCTGTGCAGTCTCCTGAGGCTCTGAGCACCGCACTAACACAACCGATTGTCTCAACACCAGTGTGATCTCATTACTTCAGAACGCATCATGTTTATCTCCATAGGGACTTTATTATGTTTAACACCTTCATTCATAATGAACAAAAACATAAAACCAGAGAACAAAAGCAGCTTGTACTTTAGGTTACAGAAGGGTTTTTTTTTTCAGCTGTAACATATTGTAGGGTTTTTTTTTTCTTTTCTTTTTTTCATGCTCAGCTTTTTGCTGCTGCTGCTCGATGAGGGGAAAGAGAGGCACACAAAGGGTTAAATTGTTTGCCTGTCTTCCTTGGAGATGGGAGAGGCCAGTTGAATGGCTAGCTTTAACAGCTAGTCAACACATTGGCTAAGGCTGAGGGTGGATCTGCTGCTGGGCCTGTGCTGTGGCATGGAGCTTCTCGGGGATCTGGAGTCAGAGACGACAACAAGTGGAGCTTTTTCTGTATGTGTGCAGGCATGAGTATTTGATGTGTGTGAACATGCATGTTGGGGATAAATTGAAAGGCGCTGTTTCGAAAGAGAAAACACAGCAACTTTAGCTTTGCCTGAAATCACTTTTTTTTTTGTGAAGATAATTATTGACGTAGATGAAAGGTGGTTATATCATTTGTTTTTGCAGCACTGAGCCCCACCACGGCCTTTTAGCCCCTTTCTCACGTTGCCATTCTCCTATTTCTGCTGCCCTCCCCAAACATATTCCTCCTGCACTGTAAGCTCACCTCTGTTTAATGTGAGGGGGCAGCAGGTTTGTGTTGTTTTTGTTTAATGGCTGAAATGATGGCACTAATGAAGCCAGGCCTGCTTTGGACACATGCAGCACAGTGTCTGAGTAACATGGGTTATGACTACAAAAAAAAAAGTAATAAGTTACTCACATTATTTGCCTGCAACACTTTCAGTTTCACCTTAATGGTCTGACATGTTGTCTGTCCCTAACCTGATTGACTCATTATCCCCCTACTGCTTCGGCGTAGCGTTAATCTGGCTGTGACGGATGAGAGCTTAAGCTCAGTGTTCAAGTTAGTCTGTGAAGCCTCCATCTTTGCTGGCACAGTCTGTCCTCACCTACTTTCGGACAATAAGGACACAAATAAACGTGGGTATAGTAACACCTGCAAACCAGTCAAGTAATCTTATGCAACGGGATGATTTCCAGCTATGCAAACCTATTCAAACAGTTAATAAACTGTATTTTGTGCTTTCTAGCAACCAGTATTTCCATGTTTCTAGAAAGAGGCACGTCCTTAAATTTTGTTTACACACTTGGGATTACTTTGGCCTCATTTATACCAGGGCTGCTGCAGCCAGAGCTTGGAAATGTTTAGGTGTTTAGATTTTATCAAGACTGTTTTCATTGCACAACATTAGGCAGGCTACAACTCCAGCCTGAAATCTTATGTTATCATTGAATGAACGAACCTAACGTAGTCGTTTGTTTAGCAAAATAAAGATCTCAAAACTGTAGTTTTTGCTTGATCTAAAACAAATTAGTGCCTGACTATTTTAACCGTTCCTAATTTTCCTTTGATTCAGTAACGGCTACTTTATTCACCCCAAAATTTGATAAAAACAACTGTGCATTTTGGTTATCTTGAAACTTAAACACCAGTTTCTGTTTTTTCCACACCTCGTAGAATGTGCTAAAAACTATTATTCATAAGCTGCTTACAACCAATTAGCGTAGATGCTAACTTCAATTAATATTGAAAATACCTTAGAAAAGTCACTGCAATAAATTGTGTTTACCCTCAAAATCTGTACATACATAAAACATTTCAAAGCCATTATTTAAAAAGGACATAGGCTTTTTTGGCTGTTCAATACATTTTGTTGCACTTTAGGGGTGCAGAAAATTTTAATTTCTTATTATTCTTGCTGGATGGACAAGTCTTTCTTGATGTCTTTTAATTCATTTGAAAATTTTTGCTGTTATAAAGTCGTAAACCCCTCTATCAAACTAGAATTGACAGTTCTGGAAGTTAGAAGGGGGCGGAGGGTGAAGAGCCTCGTTTGGATTTAAAGAGACAGCCTCAAAACGAGTTGATCTGAGACACACCTCAGAAAAGGGGTGAAAGAGGGGCTTGTGGAGTTACAATACGGAGGAATTCAGACCAAAGCATTGCAGTTCCACTTTATAAAGACCCCAGCTGAAGGATTTAAATGCATCATGTCCATTTTAATATAGTCATTTTACAAATGTAACTATTATTTACAGACAGATAGTCTTAAGGGTTGTACCACAGGAAGCTAGAGTAACTATATATAACATATTCATGACTATAACTTTTTGAGTTAGCCTATTTAAGAATAAAAATGATGCAAAGCTAAGTTTGCATGTTTCACTCATAAAACCCTGTTTACAGTATTTGCTGGTTTTTCCTCTCTTTTTTTTAACAGAGCTTTCTGGATCAGTGTCCGTCTTGTATCAACTCGTGTTGCACCCCTGCTGTTTCTAATCACTATGCTTGTTGGCCAATGACAGATGATCCTCTGGGCTGCTCTGCCGAAGGATTTCCCTCCTGGCACAGAAATCTCACTATCACATTTGTGTGGCATTTACATTTTAAATGGTAGCTTTAATAATGACAAATTTTATGAAGACCTTGGTGGGAAACAAACTCACTTAACCTCAAGATAACAACCTGCTGAGCTCTCCCCGCTAACCCAGTGTTCTCCCACTTCCCTTTCAGTGTGTCCCTCTCACTGCAAACACCGAGCCTGCAAAGACGACCAGTGCTGCCACGAGCAGTGCCTGGGCGGCTGCAGCCGGTCCAACTCGGCCAGTCACTGCGTGGCGTGCCGCGGCCTCCAGTACGAGGGCACGTGCGTGGACCGCTGCCCGAACGACCACTTCATCTACAAGGGCTGGCGCTGCGTTTCCACCGCCTTCTGCCAGGAGCTGCACAACAGGTGCAGGCAGGAAAAGGAGAAGAACAAGATCACTGATTGCCACGACTACGTCATCCATAACGGTGCCTGCATCCCCGAGTGCCCCTCCGGCTACTCCATAGGCAACTCCTCGTAAGTGGACACTCGAGTCGGTCTAGTGGGCTTTTAATGGCCTGCAGAAAAGATGTTTGATCACTGAAGCATGCTTAATCTAGACCTTGTAATACACAAGCCTTTTGGGAATTTAACCCCCCGCCCCAAAAATGCATATGTATACATACACTTTTTTATTCACGTTGCTAAATGATAAACAAAAAAATGTAATGAATTAATTTATGGACAGGGATAAAAAGATAGCTTGAAATATACAGATCTAGCATAACTTCCTGCTTAAATTGAGTTTTTGTTGCACATAATGTCAGCGCAGGAAATAATGGTCCCCTCAGATGAGACATTTCTCTGTATGTTTGCTCTAAAAACCTCTTTGTTGCTGTCCGTTTGTAAGAAACCAAAGGGCTCGGGTCAAAGAAGGGCAGCACAGTGGGACGGTTGGCACATCTGGGCTTCTGTTTCTGCCTTGGTATCCCACATTTTTGTGTTGCTCAGTTGTTTACTGGGTGCTGGGTTTTTCTGCGTTGCAATTCTTGATACCTTATGCAAACACAGGCGCTGCGGCATGAATTATGCTTTCATTTTCTCCACCCAGAACTATGAATTACCAACTCACTGGGCTTGGAAATGAGTTGTGGCATCAGAAAATAAACACAGAGTAGTCTGCTGACCTGTCATGACCTTACCTTTCTTCCACTGTGACCGTGACACAGCTGTTTAATGAGCCTGAAAAAACTACCCAGATAGTTCTGCTCTGATTATAGTTCAAAACACAGCTGTAAAGATACAAAATTATCTGGTTTTGGTAATTTAACACCAGGGAAATAGTTCTTGACTCCTTTGTCCTGCCGCTACAAAACCTGGAGGTTTTTTTTTTCCAGAAAACTGCAGCAAAGTCCAGGCTGTTCGTCATTGACAACAGCGCTGAAAGGGAAAAGCAGGATTGTTTGCAGTGTATTTAACCTTTAATAATCCACAGAGGATTTGCCAAGTGCGTAATCTCCATTTGAGCAACATGCAGCTTCACATTCGCAGGGTCACATGCTGTGCGTTCACACCTGACCGACGACTGGAGAGCAGATGGAGCTACAGTGGAGCAGTTCAGGATGAAAACCAGCCTCTGTGCAGCATAGAGAGAATAAAGCAGATATACTTTTTATTACTTTAGTAAATGTTGACACAAAGAGATAATAATGAAGCACATATGCTGACAAAATCCCCAGCAAATGTTTTATGAAAGTAAAGTCTTTTATTTTTTATGATGCGCCTGTATTCTAAGGCTTTATGTTTCATAACAAAACGTTCAAAGTGTTTTGATTTTGATTTTTTTTTTTTTGCCTGCATATGATGATATTGATGATATTGCCAGATAAAAAGCTCTGTAGCTGCAGTGAGTTGAAGTAAAGGTAGCCACTTCTTGGGGCAGATTTTATCCCTTTTATTTTCCAGGGAAATGAATCTACAAATCCTGCACATCGAAACCTTTAGGCCACCGTCGACCCGTGGTGAACCCATTTGCTCTCGCGCATCTGAAGCTTTTCATGCTGACTCTCCCTGTTTTTCCCTTTTGGCTCTTCTTTTCCTTTCCTTGGCATCTCCTTCTCGTTGTCTGGTTTAAACTAAGCTGTGAAAATGAAAGCGCTCTTAGGATAAGTGGCGCTCTCCTCAGAGTTATGAGTGAAAAGTGCACAATTGGCATCAGAGTAAAAAAATGAAAAGATCAAGATAGTTCAGGGAAGTGAAGAAACGGCATATAACTTTTTTTTTTTGCAAACCTAGGCTTATAAGAAAATGTGTCACAGGAGTTTGCTTGTTTTGCTGTTTGTGTATCTCATCTACTATTACAACACTCTTATAGCTCACAGCAGATTGTAGATTAGTCTGAAATGTGTCGCTCAGCAGCTGACACTCAATTCTGTTATCAAGGCGACTCATTCTTCTGTAACTTTCTAGTATCTCACTGGGCTGAGGCTTCTGGGGATGCGTTGTCTAACACCATTCTCGAGGGAGTCTCCAGAATATCCTGAAACATTTGTGAGAAGTTCTCAACAGTTTCACAGTCTTATCACTTAAATATTGTCATGAATGAGAGTTTAGGTTCCCCAAAAACCATTGGGCCTCATGCAAGAACCGTTCAGATTTGTTCTTAAGTTGTGCGTACGAGTGATTTAGGAGAATTTGTGGCATTCACCAATTTTCTCATGTTCTAAGATTTTTTTTCAGACACGAACAAAATTCACAAGTGGTCCAGACCTGTCGTATATTTTACCTGCAGTCAGTCTGCTGTTATCCAGACGGGTTTTCTTCATTAATAACTTTATATTTCATTAGTTTGAAGATATTTTGAGTTGAAAATAAATCGCACTCCATAATTATGTTGACAAAAGGCTATTCTGTTTGAAATGGAATTAGATTTTAAATATAACTAATGACATAAATTGGTTAGCTTATATTAAATTGGCTTTTAATGCTGTTGTATAACACTACAATATTAATATGAAGATCTCAAACTAAAATCCAACTAAAATCATGCATTAATTGAAGGTTGGAGACATTTTAAAATGCTTTCTTTCAGAACTGCATCTGAAACTTGTGACGGCTGGGATGGGGGTAGCGGTGGGCGACTGCTCTTCCTCTGAATAAATGAAAACTATATGAAAACTATGTAACACAGTTGTTTACACTTAAATTAAAAATATTTGACCAAAGACAAACCGGAGCTGGACTAGAGAGAGATGATTATGATTTAGATTTTTATTTCTGTGACTGTAAACGACCCACAGGAGACACGACATTAACAGCAGTCATTTCATTTCATTCCTTGGCTTTAGCGGGTCTGACGCTGCTAAAAATGACTTTTTTTTTTTTCAATTTGACTTCAATCTTCGAACTCGTAAAGTTCTTTTTTACTTTGCAATGTCATTTATGAATGGACACTTACTAGTATGTGGGGTAGGGCTGTGTATTGGCATGAATTTGGCGATACGATACATATCATAACAGAGGGGTCACGATATGATGTATCCCGATATATTGCGATACTGTAAGCAAGGCAATATATTGCGATATATTGCGATTTTTTTTGGTCCAAAAATTCTTTTAAATAAAAACCTCTTACTGGAAAAAAAAGAAAAGCTAATGTTTACTCACAATGCTAATGCTACACTTACTCTCTGGCGCTCAAGAGGTAGAGGAGCCAAATGGCTGGCTCACTGCTGCCAACTAGTGGTCAGAGGCTGAACTACAACATAAAAATGAACTGTTGGCAAGAAGGTTGACATTTTAAACCTTAATTAAAAATTGATACAGGGCTTTAGAATATCGATACAGAATCGGGAAATGAAATGTCGCGATATTTCAGTGTATCGATATTTTCTTACACCCCTAATGTTGGGCAGGAAACTTATATCATATGGTGTTTTTGGGGTGGTAGATTATGCTAATCACCTCTCCCCGTGCACAAGCACCTGATACACATTCATCAGTTTATGCTCCTCATTTACACACTTATCCTGAAGATAGAAGAGTTTGTTGAATCTGATGTGACATGTTCATACGAACAAAAGTAAGAGAAATTTAGGATAAGAATACGTACATGTTCTTGCATCATGAGGCCCAGTGTTATGTAAAAGAGGTTTGATTTGCAATATAATTCATGCTTAGAGCAAATATTTTATCATAACTGTAATCAACACTTAAATATGTAGATTAAAAAGTAGTTATTTGTTTTAAGTGATGAAGCTGCATGAAAAAACATTAAGATTTTGATCATTTTACCACTTCTCGCCTTTCAGCTCTGCAGTTCAGGTTGTTTCCAGCTGCATATGTTTAAAATCTAATAATCTTGTCCAACTGCACAGCATTTATCCATCACCACAGGCTACACAGCGACTAGCGGGTGAACCAAAAACAGAAATTTATTTTTCAGCTATTGACACATATTTCAATCGAAGCTTCAGAGCAGGGTTTTGAATCAGTCTAGATTAAAAAGCTGCTTCAAGTTCCGTTTCTCTTCTCCTAAATCTGTCTCCTTCGATTTGTCATAAAGGCTCCACTGCAAACCCTGCGCAGGACCTTGTCCCAAAGTGTGCAGGGGTCTGAAAACGGTGGACTCCGTCACTGCCGCCCAGGCTTTAAGAGGCTGCACGGTTCTCAACGGGAGCCTGGTTATCAACCTGCGGGGAGGAAGTGAGTGTTTTTGTTTGGTTGAATTAGATCACATCTGCTCATAAAAAGCAACAAACAAAGGGATGTTGGCATTAACATAAAACCAGGAAATGTCAGAAAGAAACAAATCATAGAACATTTGCACGGAATGGTTTGTTACAGATTACTTTGGTTTTGAATCCTTTTAATGCTTGTGTTTAATTTTGTTTAGACAACATCGCAGCTGAACTGGAGGCCAGTCTGGGCCAGCTGGAGGAGATCACTGGCTACCTGATGGTGCGACGGTCCTACGCCCTCGTGTCCCTCTCATTTTTCCGTAAACTCCGTGTTATTCGTGGGGAGGAGCAGGAAATCGGGTGAGATTCTATCTTCCTCGTCGTCTCTGATCCTCACCATGCACATCTTCCTCCTGTAATTATGAGTTAAAAGCGGACTGACCTTTTTCAAAATGTATTTCTGTGGCAGCTGTTTTTGGTTTGATTTTCAACAAAACAAAGTAGAAATTCTCAATGTTTTTTTGTACAAACAAATGGCTACTCTCGCAGTGGAAACAGCAAAGTTGTGCAAACAGCTCGATTCAAATCTGAGACTAAATTTTGCTGCTCTGGTTACACCAAAACTCGTTTCTGAAGTACCCTTGCAAATATATTCATGCAGCCTTGTTTTCCAGGAACTACTCCTTCTATGCCCTGGACAACCAGAACCTCCGGCAGCTCTGGGACTGGTCCAAGCACAAGCTAACCATCCTGCAGGGGCGCATTTTTTTCCACTACAACTCCAAGCTCTGCATGTCGGAGATCCGTGAGATGGAGAACGTGACGGGAACCAAAGGGCGGCAGAGCACCAACGACATCGCTCTCAAGACCAACGGGGACCAGGCCTCATGTAAGAAACTCAACCCCTGCGGACGTGATATTTGGTGAAGCAGTTACTACAGCGACAGACAACACAGAGTCAGGCCCCGCAGTTTCAATCAGTTATTGTTATGATGGCCATTTCCTGTCCTGTGTTTGCGCATAACTTCCTGGAGACCTTTTATTATTGATCTTGTTTAAGTAAGAACAACCAACAGAACAAAGTGCTCTGGTTTGTTACAACAGTGGTGGTTTGACTTTTATTTTATTTTATTTTATTTTTATACTTTCAGTGGATTTAAGTATTTTTTACAATGTATTGAATAGTTTGAGTTGAATGGACGGGAGAGAAATATCTTAGTTTTTATGAAGCTTTAGAGCAGGGCTATTCGACTAAACTGCCCCAGGGGCCACGGTTACTGCAGGTCAACAGCTGAGGGGCCGAATATCCAGCAATTAACGTCATTATGTAAATAAACCAAGTATTACAAAGATCTGTTACCTTTGAAATAGTTTATTTTGCTGCATCCATGGATACAACATACAGAACCCTATAAAAGTAGTGATAATAAAACAATATAATATCAAACCAAAAAGACACAGTTATTTGACACAAATATTATTTTGACATGTGTGACTTGCCAACTTTTAAACCCATTTTATTTTCACTTTCATAATTTTCTCTTCAACTACTTGTAATTTTAACTGTCTTGAGTGTTCATAGAAATGGTTTTTACCAGTTTTTAGCCAAGATTCTGATATTTCTGTAGATATCAAACATGTTTAGGTTTAACTAAAAGAACTTGTAGTAATTAAAGCAGAAAACCGAAGGGGCTGGGCTTAAGCAGGTGCGGTTCTAGGGGCGGGGCCACAGGGGCATTGTCCCCTGCTGAAATTTGATTGGCCCCTGAAGTGCCCCTGTCCTGTCACTCATCTGACCTTTGCCCAAAAAACGAGGATGCTGGGTGCAGTTCCATGTCCAAACAATAGAGGCGCTAATGAGCCAAATAGAAAAGTCCAGCATGAATCGAGATGACGGAAGTCTTCTTCTTTTCTTAAAATTTGAACAATCCTACTGAAAAAGTCTTTCAACTCACATATGAAGCTCTGACGTTGCTATGTGTTTGAGAGTATTTTTTCTATGTACTGTAAAAATGCATGTAAAATTGGTATTTGGCCCCTCTATGATCATTGTGGTCCCTTGATGGCCCCTTACTCAGAAAAATCCTAAATCCACCACTGGGCTTAAGAGATAAACCAATTGGTGGGACAAATTTTGATCACTCGCAGGCCAGATGTGGCCCGCGGGCTGCCAGTTGAATAGCCCTTCTTTAGGGGATTTTCCAAATAATAGTTCAGGTTTATTTGGTGCAATTTCATCATGACGACAGCAACGGGGTTGTTGTGTCCAGAAGAGAATGTCCACTTAGCACTGAAGCACACAGTTTGGATAACTCCCTGACTGAAAAATTGGGTCTCTTAAAAGATTTTTTCTTTTTTTTTCTCCAACGGTTTGGCAACTCCTTATGCTTGTTTTTACTGTTTAGTTTGGGTTAAAAGTGTTTTCTTTTTATATGAAACTACAAAAACCTCAGCTGTAAAGGTCACAAACCAGAGTTGTGAGTCAGAATTCTGCATCTCAGGCGCATTCCCTGAGATGGTGAAAATCTTTTATGGCTTTTTTTTTTCCTTCTTCTTCCCTGAGTGCATTGACAAATATAGTAAAACCATGCAGAAGCACAGCTGAACTTGACCCCTAGGGGACCTTTGAGGAAAAATCTCGTAAATAAATGGATGAAATAAAAGCCTTGTGTTATAAATAAATACTATATAATATAGTAAATAGTATTCTGCTGTTCTACATGAGCAAACGGAGACAAATGTAGTATTTTTTTTACATTTGAACAATAAAAAAAGATGAGTTAAGAACCAGAAATCATGGGTTAACTAGAGAAATTGCTGTTTTTGTGAAAATACAGGATGTCTTGAATAAGTTTGCTGAAATTTGCTAAAGAAGCTGAAACTGAGTTTATAAAAAACTAAAAGAAGCTAAAAGCTAGCAAAGGCTAAAGTTTCAAAATGCTAGCTAAAAGTAATATTTGCTGTTCCTAAAAGCTAAATTTAGCAAATAGCAAGCTAGAAGCTAAAAGTGTGGTGGGAAAATGGCTAGAAAAGGTCGCTAAAGCCTAATATTAGCATAAGAAAACAAAAATGGAGCAAAGTATGCTTAAGTACATTGTTAAAAAAATTGAGATCTTTTTTTTCTATGGGAAGTTTTATTTTGAATAAAGTGGAAACGTATTAAAGTTACAAAAACCAAGAGTTATAACACTGAATGAGTTGTTTGATGAGTAAATGGCTAAAATAGCACAAAATATGCAATAACAGCATTGCAAAAACAAAAATAAAAACCTGGAAATTAATATTGTGAAAGATGAATCAGCTTTCTACATTATGCATTTGAGAAGGTGAAATGCAAGATGTGTTGCTAACTATATTATACATATCTATAAGTGTTACTGTTTTCTTCACACGTTCTTCTAATAATGAGTTAAAAGACTAAAATGATTAACTCGTAATATTTTCTTTCCCCTCGTACTGTCAGGTGAGAACCATCGGTTGAAGTTCACCCAGATCCGAACCATGAGCGATAAGATTATGATCAAGTGGGAACCCTTCTGGCCGCCAGACTTCAGAGACCTGCTGGGCTTCATGGTGCTCTACAAAGAAGCGTAAGTTCATCTCCAGAGCATCAGAAACCTGGATCTAATGTTTTCAGCTTGTGTTGTCACATCCTTCTGTTTATGTTTTCTGTTTGCTCTGATCTGAACTTGGTTTAGCCACACAAATCATCAGATAATACCCTGGAATTTCCTCACTGCAATTTACTGCGCTCACGTTTGTTGCAAAGCTCCTTTCCCATTTTCCTAAATGCTCCCATAAATCCAATGATAAAATGCAATAAAAATATAAATATATGACTCAAACCCAATATCCTTCCTTGGGTAAAATGCAATTTAGGCCGACGTATATAACGCTCCATTCATCTGGATATTGTTTATTGTTTTTCACCTCCGCAGACCTTTTCAGAACGTAACAGAGTTTGATGGGCAAGACGCCTGCGGCTCCAACAGCTGGGTGATTGCAGATGTGGACCCTCCGCGGCGGGCCACGGATGGGGAGAGGGAGCAGATTGAACCGGGTCACCTCATCATGCCTCTGAAGCCCTGGACGCAGTACGCCATAATGGTGAAGACCCAGCTGTCTGCGTCTGACGATCACCAGGTCCTCGGAGCCAAAAGCGACATCATCTACGTCCGCACCAACGCCACCAGTAAGACTGTGGTTGTGTAAACGTTTGATATTCTCTCCAGATGTAGAAGGGGGAAAAAAAGTTGCCCTACTGTTCTTATTTGTCCTTTTGGACCTTGCATCATATATTATCTTAAATGACATCATTATTCAAGATATCTTAAGTGTATTTTTAGTAGGGGTCGACCGATACATCGGCCTGCCGATATTTGCGTTTTTTCCTTATATCTGTATCGGTTAATAAATGTTTTTATTTTTTTGTTTGTTTGTTTTCTTTTAAATTAAAACTTATGCAGCATTTGTTATCATTCTTATTTTTATCATGTTAAGGGAGAAAGAAAAGGCAGTATCGGCTTCAAGAATCGACCAAAAAAAATCAGCTGCACTTATCGGCGTATCGGTTAGACTGATGTCAAAAAAATTGGTATCGGTATCGGCCTTCAAAAACCTGTATCGGTTGATCTCTAATTTTTAGATACAAGAAATATAAGATCGAAGTAATGCAAATTAAATGGCAGGCATTTTCTTGTTGTATAGTTTTTATTTTAAAAAAAAGCTGCACGCTTTTTATAAATACTAGTGTTTCTGCTGTCGGTCATCATTTTGTGTTCAAAAGTAGGAGAAACACTGTTTATCCATGACATGATCCTGTCAGTTCTGGACAGGTTGTAAACATTTCGGCTCATAGTTAAGAGTGGAAAAAGTTAAAGTCTTCCTGTATAAAAATATTATTTTTTGTTTTTGTGTCTCAGTCAGTGTAAAATGTCCTTGTCACGAAAACAAGAAAGAAAAAAGCCAGTTGATTATACTACACCACTGACCTACAGGGACACATCTTGCCTTAGAGAGTCCTGCAGCAATTATGAAACTCTTCCTCAGTACTTGATGTACTTTGCCGCCCACAGTGTGCATGCAGTATCAGAGTTATGGTGGCCTGTCTAGCTGTCTTCCTTTCAGACGCTTCCTTGTAAAAACCGCATCAAAAAATGACATCCCTCGCTCGCAACAAAACTGGCTTCCAGCATCGGCGGGTGAGCGTGGCGTGAAGGGAGAGCTGTTTTCTGCCTGTGTGGCAGACGCTCCGGGCTCCTGGTCTCTGTCTGATCAGCAGGGCAAAGCTGTCATTACACATAATCTGCAGCCGGTGAAACTTTGTCTGACAATGCGGTCAGACCAGTCAGTGGCATCGTAATGAAACAAGGACAACATAATCACTCTGTGACTCTCTTCCTCCTCAGCCTTCAATCAAATTTACCCACAGACATGTGTGATGCAGCACTGCCCACACACTCTTCCCATAGAAGTCAATGACCTTTTAGTCTTTTCAAATATCAAAATGTTAAATTCATACAGGAGATGAGTGCTATGATATAGCCCTAATGACCGATGAGTCGTTTTTGTACCGTTCGAAATATTTTTACTTTATTTACTAATATTTTTTCATTAAAATACATGAAGACCTCTTCAATTCCTTCTTATCAAATCATTTTCTTTGAAATTTCTACTGTGCTTGCTCTGTTTTTGTTTTCTTTTGCTACTTGCTAGTAGCTAGGTTTTGTTATTTTAGGTTTTTAGTTAGCTTTATGCTACTTATTCTACTTTTAGCTTGTTGCTAGCCTTTTGTTTTTATCTTTTAGTTAACTTTTTTTTGCAATTTTATCTAATCCTTTGCTACTTTTACCAAGCTTTTGCTATTTTTAGCTTTTAACTAAACCTTTTTACAAGCTTTCACCTTGTGTTTTCCTGCTTTTGGCTAGTATTTTGCTCCTATATAACATTTTGCTAGCTACTGCTTTTCTACTTTTAGCTAATTATGATACTTTTTTGCTACATTAAACTTTTAGCTATCCTTTTGCTCCTTTTATTTTTATCTAGTATTTTTCCCTTCAAGCTTTTAGCATGTGTTCTGCTTCTTTTACCTTTTAAAAACTCAGTTTCAGCTTTTCTCAACACTCAGCATTTACAGAAACTTTTTGCAGAAAATGCAGTTTTTCTAGTTGTTTTTTCCACAAGCTGACAGCCCTCACTAAACATGAGTATAATCTAATAAAATAGTCCACAGTAAAACTGGTATTAGGGACTCAAGCTGTTTTTATAAGTTTTAATCCTTCCAACAGCAGCACACATATGACTAAATGCTCACACGTGACTGAACTCATGCAGTTAGCTGACAATGACTGATGCGAAAAACAAGATTCCTGTTGTGAATTTGGATCAAAACAAAGATTATTCATTTTCAGGATGACAGCTTAATAAACATCTAATGAAATTTTTTTTATTGAATTAAAATAACTTTGAGAAATAATGCTGCTTTTCTTTATTAGTTAGTATAAATAAATCAAACCATATTTTAACACTTGGAGAAGGCAGTGATAAAAAAAACAAGAATACAGATCAGCCAGTTAAAAGCTCCATGAAAACACTTACAGCACTTATTAATTTCCCCGTGGTTTTTATTTTCTCGTGGCTCGAAGGCCATACGAACGAAACCAGAAGGCTTCATGTTTCTTTACACAAAACAAACATCAAATGGTTTAATACTCAAAACCCAAAATTGGGGGGAAAACCCAGAGCAAGCAGCTGCGAGTCGCAGACCAACGCTGTGCCAGTAAGTGCTAAATTATCTTGCTGCAACCCCAAATGCAAATCAAATCGAAACAGCACTTCTCTTCGATCATCAGTGATTTTTATCCAGATTTGTGCCAAGCGTGACACGATTTAAAGCACTTTACCATACTATACCACTTTATTTCTAAAGCACCTTAAAAACAACATAGCAGCTGACTGAAGTGCCGTACAAATATATAAAACAAAACAACAGAACAAAAATCACAGATACCAGAAAAGAGTAGAATATTAAGACACAGATGCTAAATCACTCTGGGTTAAAAGCCAAAAGAGAAGAAATTCTCTTTGTAATGTAAACATTTAATTCATTATCACCAAATTACATTTTTACTGAATATATTCCCCCACCCCTCTGAAATTATTTGCCTTAAATTTAAGAAAGAAAATCAAAACCTAATTAAGCTGAAGTATATTTACAAACAAAACCTGCTTACTTATATATTAATGTTTAAAAACTTCAGATTCAGTTCAATGTTAATAAAAAAACTGTTTTAAACAATGAAATATAGATTTAAAAATGAATTAAATATATATGTTTAGTGATTATTATGTAAATTAAAATTGTAGTCTATCATAATCTCTCTTTTTTTAATCCTCTAAGTTGTGACATGTCATTGAGCATCGAGCGTGTCTTAGTTTCAACAAACGCTCTTTTGCTCTAAAGACATTAATTCTGTTGTATGTATTTCTTTTCTGCAGAACCGTCAGTCCCACTGGACCCCATCTCCTCGTCCAACTCCTCCTCACAGATCATCTTGAAGTGGAAACCTCCCAATGACCCCAACGGAAACATCTCTCACTACCTGGTTTTCTACCAGCGGCAGCCCGAAGCCAGCGAGCTCTACAAGTTTGACTACTGCCAGAAGGGTGAGGCACACCGCTTGTGGTTGTTTCTGGGGCTTCTTATGTGTTGAGGGTCTGTGTTCAGACTGAGGTGTCCAGTCCTAGTCCTGCATGTTGGGACTGTTACAATAACAAATTTTACTGGACGATAAATCGTCTCAGAAGTTATGGCGATAAACGATAATATTGTTGGAGACCAGTTTAAACTAATATAATGATATAACAACCCCTGTTTATAGAAGTTTACATTAAAATTTACATAGTGTAAAAAGAAAAAAAACTGTTGGCAATCCCAAGGTGTTGCAGCTGAATGAAGGTGTCAGAAACCTGAAGACGCTCCTCTGGCTAAATGCCTGTTCACGGGCTCTCATGCTACAGTTTAGGAGGCAATGCACCTGGCAAATACCTGACACCTGAGTTCATTCCTCTCTACGATAAGAAGTAAAAAAGAGGGAGACATGAAGAAAACAAAAAAGCAGGCGAATGAAAATAGTCTTCATTTTAATTTCTCTTCCTCAATTTAATTTATCGTACGATTAATTGATTGATTGTTTATTGTGATAGGCCTAGTTGGGACTTGTTCCGTTGCTCCAACACACCTGGTTTAACAATTAAAGAAGCTTGTTTATCGCCGGTTCATTCAGATCAGGTGTGTTGGAGCAGAGGAGCTTTTACATCATGCAGGACAGTGAGCTTTGCTTAGACCCTCGAGTCAGCAAAACAAACCTAATTTACCTAAAACCCTGAACTCCTGGCAACCCCTCAACCTGTTGGAGTAATTTGAGTGACATATCGGGTGTCAGTTTTCCCAAAACACAAGCAACCGTACTTTATTCACTAATACGCGGAGAAAACGGTGCGATGAAGTCAAGACATCACTTAGTTTATTATTTTATAACACCGATGCCCTTAAGGCCTTGACTTTTATTAATAAAGAAGATACAGTGATGGATCTGACACTTTTACAGCAGCACAGATGAGTTCAAGATGGCAGTAAAGTTCACAAAGAGACACGTCTGTATGAATTTAATAAACTGGTCTCTAGAAATCTGAATAAAACTCGTCTTGTTCAGATCTCAAGTTCAGATGAAGTTCACACAAAAATATTTTAGTTGCGGCTTGATGCCCCATGTCAGTCAGTTGCCACCGGTGCCCATTTCTCTGAGCACAAAACTCGACTTTCTTCGTATTCCTGGAGCCTGCAGGGAGACTGTGTCAGTGATCATTTGTCTCCGCTGCAGAGGGGTTGGAGACCTGGAGATGACAATGACAGACGGGTCCTGCAGGCGGGCGTGTTCATGTGGACACTGGTCTTTAAATCGCTCCGTGTTTGTTTACCGCACCTGTCGTCACATTAATTCCCTCTTTGTCCACCTCGTCCGTTGCCAGGGATGAAGTTACCGTCGCGGGTGCCCACTCAGGTGGACAGCGACGAGGAGCAGAAGTGGAACCAGACCGAGGAGCAGGGCCAGGGGACGAGATGCTGCGCCTGCCCGAAAACCGACAAGGAGCTCAAGAAGGAGAAGGAGGACTCAGAGTACCGAAAGACCTTTGAGAATTACCTTCACAACGAAGTCTTTGAGATCAAGTAGGTGTCCTGATCAGTGCTCAGCTTATTTCCCTGTAAATTTAATAACACCAGAGTTCCCACGGGTCCTTGAAATCCTTGAAAGTTTGAGAATTTGGGGGAAAAAAAGATTTTAATGCCCTGGAAAGTTTCTAAAAACAACCAAAAATTACACTTGTCCTGGAAAGTCCTTGAATGTTTTTGGGGGGTTGAAGTTCTCTATTCAAACTGATTTTCATCAAATGTTAAAAAAAACAAACAGATTTGTTACGGTAGATAACTCAAGATTACAGTAAACTGACATGGCTTTCAACAACTAATGTGACCCATAGTGATAGTTTTAGCCAATCAGAGCAGAGTAGGGCGGGTCTTTCTTTCTGAGCCCAGGTGAGAGCACCACAGCTCCTCCTGTCCTCACTGAGCATCTGGACATGTTCACATCCCCTCCTCCCAAACTGAGCTGCCAAACCTCCCAGGATATAATTACATGTTCTTGTATTGTAGATATGAATGTAGGGTAAACATTTAATCCACTTTCTTTCATTGATTCTGACTGAACAAGTTCTATTGTTCAGTTTTTCATTGAATTTACGATATTAAACCTGTTTATTGGTAACATTCTGCAGTAGGTAAATGCCATCACACGTGTTTCTTGAGTTTGAGGAAATTGGTTCTGGAAAGTCCTTGAAAGTCCCTTGAATTTGATGTTGACCAAGGTGTGGGAACCCTGTAACACATTAAGTTCTCTTCCAGACGCTCCAGGCATAGGCGCTCCATGGTGGGCATCGCCAACCGAACGCACCCCTTCCTCACCACCGCCCCCAGCCCGACCGGGGCCACGGGCATCCCGGACGACGAGGACGAGGAGAACTTCGAAGGCACCAAGACGATGGTCTTCGTCCCTAACAAGGAGACCACGGTCATCTCCGGCCTGCGCCACTTCACCAGCTACCAGATCGAAATCCACGCCTGCAACCACCCCACGGAACAGACCCGCTGCAGCATGGCGGCGTACGTCAGCGCCCGCACCATGCCCGAGGGTACGACAACGTTTGTGCCAAACCGTGTAACTCATCATCCTTTTATTCGTTCAAACGAACCGTACGAACCCGTACTTTGTTCTCTGCAGATAAAGCTGATGATATCTTGGGTCCCATCACTCACGACGTGTCAGAAAACACGGTGCACATAAGTTGGCACGAACCTGCAGCCCCCAACGGTATCATCATCCTGTATGAAGTGAACTACAAGAGACAGGGAGACTCTGAGGTAAAAACACAACATTTGTTATTATCTGGTACTGAAACATGAACAGAAGAGGGAAACACCTGAAGCTGCAGATCATTAATGTCTGCGGGGTCACTCCGTGTCTCCTCTGATTCACATTAAAAGCACTGACTTTCTCATCCAACAGATTATGAGTGATAAATTAAATTTGTCCTTCTCTGAGCTCTGTAAAGCACAGAAACATAAAGAGCTCATGATTGTGTTTTGTAACTGGCTGTTATTTGTTTGATTTAGCCCTAATGACAGTCATTTTTCTTTGCTTCGCTCCGCGTTTTAGTTGTCAGGGAAATGGGTAAAAACAAACATTTGTTTAATCGAATTGAACTTATTTTCTGTGGAGAACATTTTTATTTGAAAGTATTGGGTTTTTTCCACCCTAATAAGAAGCAAAAACAATAAACAAGTTGAACCACAAGTAAAAACAACAACATGTAATTGATGAAAATGTTATTTTAAAGGAACAGTGCGTAGGATTTTGTCAATTCTTTTAACCGAAATTGAGATAATCACTAATGACAATAATAAAAAAACATGTCTAATCATTGCAGACAAAGACCTTGTTTATTATTTTTACCTTATAAAAAGTTGTTTATATCTCCATGGTCGCGGGTCGCCACACAGGCAGCCGCCATCTTGCATCGCCATCTTGTCTTCGAAGGCTCATGAAGGACAAACTGCGGTGGCGGCGTCAAAAACTGTTTTAGTTGTAATACTATAAATGTAATATTTGTTATCTGTCATTAGCTACATTTACATGGACAAAAGTAATCGCATTAAACAGCCGTTCGGAATAAAAATGCGTCATGTAAACAGCCTGTTCTGATTATTCTGATCTGATTGAGCTCGATCCGAATGAATTTTTAATCCGAATGAAAAGGGTGGGTTATGCCGATTGATAATCGGAATGACGTTCATGCAAACACTTAATCGGATCATCTTATTCTGATTGTAGAAAACTGACCTGTGCGCATGTCTGCTGACTTTCATCCGGTGGGACAGCAGAGCTCCAGCTGCACAGCACCGTGCTAAACTTTTCCTCCTCTCTCTCTTAACAGATGAAAAAGGAGGCAAACAGCAGACGTTGCTTCGCAAAAAATAAAAATAAAAAGCACGTATTGCTTCATCTGCAGGCTGCAGCTCAACCCAGGTGTAACGGCGTCTCTACCGTTATTAAAAGCTGACACGGGTCCGTCCTGAGGCACAGAGGAGCTTTGTTTATGTTTGTAACACGGAAGTAGAGCTGAACGTTTACAACACTGCGCATGTCCGGACTTTTATTCTGAGTAAAAGTCCAGTGCATGTAAACACTTTTCATGATAGGATTGTGTCCATGTAAACAGTACATTCAGATTATTTAATCTGAATACATTTCAATCCGATTAAAAGATTTTGTGCATGTAAACATAGCTGGTATAATTTTACTTATTAAAGCTCATTATCTTACCACTTGAAACATCACTAGTCCTGAAGCTGCTGGTAGACATCGCGGTTGGAATTATCAAAGGTTTTTGACACCTGAGAGACACCGTAGCGTTTGGAAGCGGAGGGTGGGGGTGGGGGGAGGACCAGGGAGGATGATTCAACCACTCAACCACTAGATGTCGCTGAAAACAACAAATCCTACACACTGTACCTAAAAGTTAGAATTGAATGAAACTACTACCCAGGGGGTGAACGCTCATTTGATTCCTGCAGGAACTGCACTACTGTGTGTCGAGGAACATGTACAGATCTATTAAAGGTTGCAGACTGAAAGTGATGCATCCTGGGAATTACACTGTGAGGATTCGGGCCACCTCTCTGGCTGGAAACGGATCTTGGACCGAACCTACTTTCTTCTATGTTCAAGATCCAAGTAAGTCGAATGGATAAATTAATAACTTATACACACACACACACACACACACACACACACACACACACACACACACACACACYCACACATACACACATACTGTATTTATTCATGTATAATACTAGAAATTTAACCCTAAAAATCATCCATAAAGTGTGTGTGTGTGTGTGGGGTGGGGGTGGAGTAATATTATACACAGGTTATTGATGATTACATTTTTATGCCTTTTAAGCTCAAAAAATGATAATTGTAGTATATAAATTTTACTTTTATTTATTGAAAACCTTTGCCGTGTTTTTAATCCCATTAAGTTCTTATTATCTACTAAACAGGACTGTAATTTAACTTTAAATTATGCTTATTGATTAATAATAATAATTTATATACAGTAAATATGTATATATATAGAGAGAGAAATTATATATAGAAATTAGAATAAATGACAAAGTTGGAACATTATCACGTTTCATCTTCAGTAAATCACAAGATGCTACTAATCGATCCTGAAGGAGTTTCCCTTCTCACAGCAGCATATGGATCGTACTTCTACGGGTTTGTTCTGAGCAGCTTGTTTCTGTTTTTCACCTGAAATGTGACACGCTTCGGGCGGATGTTTATTTTTTATTTATTTATTTTTTTGAACAGGCGATCCTCTCTACATTGTGAAGATCATCATCGGGCCGATCATCTGCGTCATCCTCCTGGTGCTTGTGTCCGGCACAGGATTTATCCTGTTCAGTAAGAGGTGTGTAACCATCACATCCTGTTCAGCTCTCAGTGTTTTTATTTAGCCAGTGTGTTTATTAAATGTGTTGTTTTCCTTTTTGTTCGTTCAGTCAAACTCAAGGGCCTAGTGGTCCCATTTACGCCTCTTCAAATCCTGAGTATCTCAGCACTAATGACGGTAAGTGAATCTTTTAATCAGTGATGTTAAGGCTGGATTTATAAAAGGATTTTAGCATTTTATTCCAAACACAGCCCACGTACAGTGGTAAGAAAGGGTGTCCTGGTTTCTATGTGTTTAGTTTTATTTGATGTTCAAAATTAATAATTAATTAAAGCAAACTTAAGAAAATTAGTGACTCGGCTCAAACCTTTTTTAGTCCAATTTAGTTCACTCCAGAGATTATAATTACACAAAATATTTTAATAAATATAATAGGGCGCGCTGCAGCAGGATCACATGAGAAACATAAATATCATATAGAAGCTGTGATAGCTAACAAATCCTCAGGTGCATTAGTAATTTTAAAATACAGAAAATATTAAAAATGTATCTTTGTGTAAAATTAATTTATGCATTCGGATGATTTAATGAGGAAAAACTTTGAAAGTAGTCATTTTAACTCGGGGGGGGGGGGGCAAGACACAGTTAAAGCTGTATTTTAATGCAATTAATAATCAATTTGTGATTCATTTTATGGGAGATTAATATATTGTTTTATCTCTCATAGAAAAAAATGCTAGAAGCACCAACAGTTTGTCTTTTTTTCTCAGTTATGGCTCAAAATCAGTCAATTAAATGTTGCACCGTTAACTTGTCTTCTTAACATTAAAACACTGACAAGACATTTAATTTAAACTTTTATTGTGACATCTTTCTCACTGTGCACAAAAGGGCTCAGTGTTAAAAATTTAACCCTATTTTTGCATTTTAATTCCTAAATTAAAACACTTCATGATTTCACCACTAACCTAAACTAAATTAAATTTCATGCCTTGTTTGCTTCTACAGTTTGAGACATTTGATAATAGAAAAGGTTAGGGCTCCCTTTAACAGACTCATAATATTTCAGTAATTTTAAATGTTTCGAAGCAATTATTAAGCTCCAGCTGCTGGTCCAGGTTTCAGGTCTGTAAGGAGTTTGTCACCATCACAATGTGCTTGTTGCAGTGTACGAGGAGGACGAGTGGGAGGTGCCCCGCGATAAGATCAACATCCTGCGCGAGCTGGGGCAGGGCTCCTTCGGCATGGTCTACGAGGGCATCGCCAAGGACATCATCAAGGGCGAGGGGGAGACGCGGGTGGCGGTGAAGACGGTGAACGAGTCGGCCAGCCTGCGGGAGAGAATCGAGTTCCTGAACGAGGCCTCGGTCATGAAGGCCTTCAGCTGCCATCATGTGGTAAAGAGAGACGTCTTTGTTTTCGCCTCGGAGAGGACTTAGTGTGTGGTTTACTGATGAGGGGTGAAAGAACAGGGTGGGGTTTGAATCAGTGGACCGCAGTCTGAACATGTGCACGTCGGATCACTGCTACGGTTAGCTGCAGGAAGGCTTCACAGGACAGGCTGTCATTTTTACTGTTTGTTTAATGTGACATAATGTGACAAAATTAGATGACGTCTTGATAAAACCTGCTCGCTTCGTCTCAGGTGCGTCTGCTGGGCGTCGTATCGAAGGGCCAGCCCACGTTAGTGGTGATGGAGCTGATGACCCACGGAGACCTGAAGAGCTACCTGCGCTCCCTGCGACCCGACGCTGAGGTAATCAGATGTTTCAGGTCGGGTTGCACTTCTGGTTTTCCTCCGCCTCACTTCTGCTTTTTATGGAGAGAAATAGAACATGAAGTTCTTAATGTTGTTATCTATATTCAAATGTCTGCTTTTTCATGTTCACACAGAAATCACCTGTTTTTATTAACAGATAAGATCCTTTTAAGATGTGTATCATAAATAGTTTCACTTAGAAAAGCGGCGATTTGCAAACACAGACGATTTTAAAAACAACCATTGGTTAACTTTGGAAGGAACTAGTCGAGTGAAACAGACGGTGTAAAAATATTTTGTCTGCGTCCCTCAGAATAACCCTGGACGTCCTCCGCCCACCCTGAAGGAGATGGTCCAAATGGCGGCAGAGATCGCAGACGGCATCGCCTACCTCAACGCCAAGAAGTTCGTCCACAGAGACCTGGCAGCCAGAAACTGCATGGTGGCTCACGATCTGACCGTCAAAATCGGAGGCGAGTTTTCGTCCATCCAACACTCAAGTTTTAGCTTTGGTTTGACTTGGTTTGTGCAGAGTTTGACCTTTCCTGACATTTGGTCCCAGGTGGTAAAATATAAAAACGCTGAACACAATTGAACTAAAAAAAAAAAGAAGGAAATGGTATTTATAGAAGTGGTTGAAGCTTTATAGACGACAAAAAAATCCAGACTCTGATGATTATCTCTCCTTCACAGACTTCGGTATGACCAGAGACATCTACGAGACGGACTACTACAGGAAGGGAGGGAAGGGCCTGCTGCCGGTCCGGTGGATGGCTCCTGAGTCTCTGAAGGACGGCGTCTTCACCGCAAATTCAGACTGCTGGTCAGTCACAGTCCTCTTTAACACACAACTGCTAAAAATACTGCTCACTTCCAGCTTATCTGTAGAACTCTGAGGTGCTGAACGGCAGCTAAAATGTGCTGAAGAAACTGAAAACGAGCTGAAGGGAGGAAAAGAAAATAGCTCGGAGCCAGAATGACAGAAAGTGCTAGCTAAAAGTAGCAAAATACTAGTTGAAGTAAACATAACTTTCTCTCTAGCACGAAATGTGTGAAATAAATATTTTTGCCCTTTTTTAAGCAAAAGGCTAATTACAAACTGAGTAATAAATTGTTTATTAAAAGCTAAAAGTAGCAAAAAGCTAGCTACAAACAAAACATCAAAAGGCTAGCTCAAAGCTAAAAGTAACAAATGATTTGCTAAACATAAAAAGTAGCAACAGCTAGCCAAAAGTAGCTAAAAGTACTGCAACAAGACAAAAATAGCGCAAACAGGACAATGTTTTAGAGAGATCTTAAAGTGCCTGTGATGTCAAATTTTCGTAATACATTTGAATGCATTTTTAGAAAGAGGACATTGACAAAATATTGCAAAAGAAATTTCATGTTGCTGAGATGAAGAGTTGTTGAGATATTTGCCTGTGAAGTAACAGGAAGTGATGTCAAAGGGGAATGTCTGCATGTGAACAGAGCGTTGCTACAACAGCCAACAACCCAGACTGTAGAGAAGAATCTGATGTTTCTTGAGATTATTTTGAGTCACTGTCAATAAGATGGAGAAGAGTCAGAGTTTAAATAATATTCTTTCAATAAACAAAGACCAGAGTTTTCTTTGTTAAAGAGTTCCCCTTTGATGTCACTTCCTGTTTCACTTTGTCTGAGCAAAGTTCAAAGAAAATATGCCAGTTATGGGACAAAATGGGTAAAATCGTGTGTATTATTCCAACTTTTTAAATATAAAGATGTTTTCTTTGACTTTTTGTATTTGAAGAATATGCATGTCACAGGCACTTTAATGTATTTCTATAGGGAAAACAAATAATTTTTGAAAAGTTAAAAAAATCCAAAAGCTAAAGAGTCATAGCACCTATCTCCTGAATGAGCTGAACGTTTTGAAATATAAAGAGCTAAAATAGTATAAAGAGTACAGAAAATTTCTAATGAATAAAGCAGAAAAATAAAACAATAATATGGACACTAAATCATTCTGTGAATATGTGACCAACATTCACATGTGAAACAATAACAGGCGCCCAGGCCGATCCCAGCAAAGCTTCTCCCTCACCGAGCCTCGCGCCGCTTGTTTACAGACAGATTTACTCAGTCAGGTGTCTAAGCGGCGCGTCCTCTTTGTCCCTGTTTACCAGGTCGTTCGGGGTGGTGCTGTGGGAGATCAGCACTCTGGCTGAGCAGCCGTACCAGGGCCTGTCCAACGAGCAGGTCCTCAAGTTCGTCATGGACGGAGGCTTCCTGGACCGGCCTGACAACTGCGCTGACAGACTGTGAGTACAGATGCAGGAAATGAAACGAACTGAAGTGTTTTTGTTTTTGATTTCTGACATTTTGTTCTCACGAAACATATAAGAAATTAATAAAACAAAGCGTTTATTTCAGCCCTGATGACAAAACGACAGTGTGTTTTAAAGTTCAAACAGAGCAGCATTGAGTTGATTTACAAATAAAGCAATTATTGTGATGGAAGGACCCACGGATATTACTTTGAACCGAAGTGGGAGGTGTTGGGATTTGGATTAGTGAGGGTTTATGGAGCAGGATGGGGAACTTTGTGATGGCTGAAAATAAAAAATCACTTCCTATCCCATAAATCAACATGTAGCTAAAGCTCAGGCCCCTCACAACTGGGCCTTCACTAACTTACCAAACCACACACACACCTACTATGTCTCTCTAGCCTTGTGGGGACTTTCCATTGACTTTCATTCATTTTTTGGAAATTTTGTAGCCTAACCCTGACCATTTACCCTAAAATTAACCTCACAGATTAACCTCACCTGAGCCTAAAACTAACCTAAATTCAATTCACACCTTGGTCCTAAACCTCACCCCCACCCAAAATCAGCCTGAATCCATGGAGCATCCGGTCCCCACGAGGCTGTATTTTCCTGAAAAATCATCCCCACCAAGTAGCAAAAACAAGGGCACACACACATCCTTGTATTTGCATCAAACTGAGGACTTTGTATTGACTTCCACTCATTTTTGTAATTGTCTTTATGCCTAACCCAGACATTTTCACTAAAATTAACCATTACTAGTCTATAGCTAACCCTAACCTGAACCAGAACTTCACACCACACCTCTAAACCTAACTAGTAAAGCACAGCAGAGCTGCAAATAAAGTGAGGACCGGGAAAATGTCCTCACTTTCCAAAAATGACCTCAAACTTAACCTTAAAAACCTTACATGGTCCTCACTATGTAGCCAAAACAAATACGTACACACACAGGTTTTCATTTCTGCCCTTATTAGGACAGGACCGTAAAAAAAGCATTTCTACACTGTTATATGGTTGTAAACATCTATCAAAGTAGAATGCAGTTCCACTTTAAATGGACCGCAGCTGATTGATTTAAATGTGAAAAGAAGGATTTAAATCATGATTTGTCTCTAAAATGATAAGAATTCATATGAAATAGAAGGAGAGCATGTTAACATGATCCCCACTTCCTGCAGACACAACCTGATGCAGATGTGCTGGCAGTACAACCCCAAGATGCGGCCCACCTTCCAGGAGATCATCGAGATGCTGAAGGACGACCTGCACCCCACCTTCCGCGAGGTCTCCTTCTTCTACAGCGAGGAGAACAAGCCGCCGGAGTGCGAGGACTTCGACCTGGACATGGAGAACATGGAGAGCATCCCGCTGGACCCCTCCTCGTACTCGCACAACGAGCAGTGCTCGGACAGGGACGAGCTGTCCTCCATGGGACTGAGGGGCAGCTACGAGGAGCACCACATCCCGTTCACGCACATGAACGGGGGCAAGACCAACGGACGGATACTGGCCCTGCCGCGGTCCAGCCCCTCCTAACAAACAACACACCCAGGAGCAGATTCAAATCTATTTTTCTCTTCTTCTTTTTTTTTGTTCCAATTTTATAGAAATCTCACTTTTATCACTTTCTCCTCAGACGCCCCTCAATGCAAAACTCAGGACCTTATTTTTCTCTCCAGATGCCACAAACACTACAGAAAGTCCACGCACAGCGGACGCCTCGAGACACTTTTTTTGTATTTAAGGACAAATCTCCTGCGTCTCTTATTGTTCATGATTGTACTTTATATAT